TTTCTCAATTTGTATCAAGTTATATCATGTATCCTTAAAATCGCGTATAAATTCAATTGTTATAAGATTAAATATGCACAAATTATGTGTCAAATGTGGAATAATAATGTGAGTATTGGTAATACATGGACTAAAATGCTAAAATGGCAACTGGACTGTCCTGAATTTAGGCGCTTTTTTGTTGCGGTATTCATGAATACATGGCGCGAGTACATGTGAATACATGCGCGTACAGTTGGACTGCCCTGATTTTAGGCGCTTTTTACTGTTGTATTCATGAATACAGCAGCGCGAATACATGTGAATACATGCTCGTACAGTTCGACTGCCTGATTTTAGGCACTTTTTGTTGTTGTATTCATGAATACATGGCGTGAATACATGCGTGTACAACTGGAGTACCTTGATTTTTAGGCGTTTTTGTTGGCGTATTCATGAATACAATAGCGCGAATACACTACCATAATAAATAATTAGTAGCTATAGGAAGTAATTACGTATATGGTAGCTATAGAAAGTTAATAACCACTAAACAATAGTGGTTTCCGAAAATTTCTCTTATTTTAATTCCTAAATCATAATGTTGCATCACAAAAAAAGAGAGAATATCAGTATTAATACGAAAGGTACCCATGAAAGAAACTCCATTCATTGTATCAAATTAAGAACATATTTCTACGGACTAGAGCTTCTTAGTTGACTGAAAAACAGAGGCAAACATCGTTTCTAAAGAAACACATGATGAATAGGGAAAACTGATAAGATTGAAATGAATATAAAGGCGGGACAACGGAAAATAACAATCTATGAGAGGTTAGTAAAGGAACTCCTTTTTATTTCATATATACTATTAAGTACGAGACCAAGCCCTACATTGTTAGGGGCCTGACTCTTTGACATCGGACGTGGCGCGACTGTGGCAAGAATTGGCCATGATGGCCTTACCATTGGCCTATGTGCGGGCAAAACAATTATGCAGGCAATGGACAAGACAATGTCATGTGGGCTGTTGCGGGCAAGTATTGGCCAAGGTTTTGGGGCAGGCAAGAAATGCTTGGCAAAGTCTTGACATAGCAGTGTGGGCAAAGTTGGGGCGGCATGGCACGACATGCGCGCCGAAGTCAGTGGCACCGGCACTTCAGGTTGTGGCAGCGCCACGTGCGGGCTAAGCTAAAGTACGGCAGTGCGGGATGATGGCAAAGGCTTTCAATAGCTAAGGCAAGGCTATGTGAAGGAAAATACAAGCAATGGCACGGGTGAAATAAGGGTTGACATGGGCAAGGCAGAAACTCGGCCAAATTATGTGCGGGCGGCAGTAACGTCGGGCGTGTGCGGCAAAATCATGGGCGACAGATTGCTGGAAAGGCGTTGGTGCGGAGCAATGTCAAAATGAGCCAAGGCTGGGCGCAATACCAGCCTTGGGCGCACATCATCTAACCAAGTCAAAGGGCATATGCAGTGCACATGCCAAAGTAGTTGGCAGTTTCCTTTTCGTAACCACCTTTACCCATGTCTGATTTATGCTTGTATCCACTATCATTTCATGTAGAACATAGCCTATGTAGCTTGGGATATCAAGTACAAGATAGGAACAGGCTTAGTCTTTGCCCAACAAGTAGCAAAAGCTGTCGACAACAAGTGTCCATGTGTTGTCAAGTCTTAAAGGCTGCCTATGTGCTATAAATAAGTGCCTTTGGACTTAGTCAGATTTTAAGTGCAATTTCATGTGAAGTTTAAGCAGGAAATAAGAGTGAAACGTGAGGGTTTCTAAGTGTTTTAAAAGGGACTAAGGCTAGGCATTAGGCAGGTCTTAGTATTGGCTAAAGAACGACTTGTGTTCTTTGTCAAAAGTGGGGCTGTGGTCGAATTGTGATCATAGTCAAGTGAGGATTCCTTTGTAAGTTTTCAAAATTAATACAAAGGTTGGGATTTTCCCGTATTTGATTGTGTTCATTTCAATTTGCTCCTAAAATTCGCTTAAGGCCAAACTTCCTAAAAATTTGGCTAAGTGTTGGGAAAAACCGAGTCAAGTTTGCAACTTGACTGCCGCGCGGGTGTGACTTTGGACTGACCAAAAACGCCCCCGTGACAACTGGTATCAGAGCGGAGCAAGGTTCGTGGCGGTGTCAAGACGACTAGTAGCAGATTTCGTGTTGCTATTTGAGAGCATGGCTGGTGGCACAAATACTGAACTGCGCTAAAGGGTGGAACAGTTGGAAGCACTCGTCAGACAGGCTCTTGAAATAGGTGATGATTCTTCTGTTCTTGCGATAATGGCACGTTTGGAAGCAGATTATGCGGCGAGGAATGAAACTACGCTAGTAGAAATGGCCTTGGTATGCAAGGAAAAGGAAGAACTGCGCGAGGAGGTGGTTCAACTTCGAAGGGCATTAAAACTACTGCCCCTAGAAGTGATGATCGCACCAAAGTGAAAATTCCGGAGCCAAAGGCTTATGGTGGTGCAAGAAGTGCCAAAGAACTGGAAAATTTCTTGTGGGATATGGAGCAGTATTTCCAGGCTACTCGTGTGCCGGATGACGAAAAGGTGATCATCACACCTATGTATTTGACTGATGATGTGAAAGTGTGGTGGCGTACACGAGTTGCTAAAGTGGAAAGTGCTGGACTGCCCAAAATTAAAACATGAGAGATACTAAAGAAGGAATTAAAATCTCAATTCCTTCCAACCAACTCGTTATGGGTTGCAAGAGATGGACTGCGTCGCTTGAAGCAAAGTGGCACGCTGAGGGAGTATGTCAAGGAATTCTCGTCCTTGATGCTGAATGTAAGTAATATGGAAGAGGAAGACAAACTGCATTACTTCATGAGCGGATTGAAGGGCTGGGCGCAATTGGAGTTGAGAAGGCAGAATGTTCAAAGCCTCTCTACTGCTATTGCGGCGGCAGATGCGTTGGCTGACTTCAATATAGGTGATGACCCTACTGATTTTTCACATTCAAAGTCCGACAGAAGGAAAGACAAAGCAAAAGAATGGAAGAAAAGTGGAAAAAACCAAGCTGCCGAAGATGAAGGATTTGCCAAGAATGGGAGGCAAGCGGAGACTTCCAATGTCAAGGAAAGAAGCGACAAGTTCAAAGGCTGCTTTACTTGTGGTGGACCGCACTTGAATAAGGACTGTCCGGTGCAGGCTAGGGTGAATGCTATGGTGGCTGCGGAAAAACAGGAACAAATGGCGGAGGCAAATACTATTGTGGCAGATGTTAATGGAGCAACATGGGCGTTGTATGTCAACAACCCCTCGGGGCTGATTAATTGAGTTGGCTCGACGAGGACGTCGATTTCAAAGGGTGCGAGTGGTTTGTTAGGGTCCTGACTCTTTGACATCAGGTGTGGCGCGGCTGTGGCAATGATTTGGCGTGATGACCTTGCCATTGGCCTATCTGCAGGCAAAACGATCATGCGGGCAATGGATAAGGCAATGTCATGTGGGTTGTTGCGGGCAAGTGTTGGCCAAGGTCTTGGGGCAGGTAAGACATGCTTGGCAAAGGCTTGACAAAGCAGTATGGGCAAAATTGGGGCGGCATGGCACGACATGCACGCCAAAGTCAGTGACATAGGCACTTCGGGTTGTGGCAGCGCTAAGTGCGAGCTAAGCTAAAGTACGACAGTGCGGGATGACGATAAAGGCTTTCAATAGCTAAGGCAAGGCTATGTAAAGGAAAATACAAGCAATGGCATAGGTGAAACAATGGTTGACATGGGCAAGGCAGGAACTCGGCCAAGGCATGTGCGAACAGCAGTAGTGTTGGGCGTGTACGACAAAATCATGGACGTCAGATTGCGGCCAAGGCATTGGTGTGGAGCATTGTCAAAATGACCAAGGCTGGGCGCAATTCCAGCCTTGGGCGCACATTAGCTGACCAAGTCAAAGGGTACATGTTGTGCACATGCCAAAGCAGTTGGCAGTTTCCTTTTCGTAACCACCTTTACCCATGTCTGATTTATGCTTGTATCCACTATCATTTCGTGTAGAACATGGCCTATGTAGTTGGGGGTGTCAACTACAAGATAGGAATAGACTTAGTTTTAGCCCAACAATTGGCAAGAGCTGTAGACAACAAGTGTTCATGTGCTGTCAAGTCCTAAAGGTTGCCTATGTGCTATAAATAGGTGTCGTTGGACTTAGTCAGATTTTAAGTGCAATTTCGTGTGAAGTTTAAGCGGGAAACAATAGTGGAACGTGAGGGTTTCTAAGTGTTTCAAAAGGGACTAAGGCTAGGCATTGGGCACGTCTTAGTGTTGGCTAAAGAACGACTTGTGTTCTTTGCCAAAAGTAGGCCTGTGGTCGAATTGTGATCATAGTCAAGTGAAGTTTCCTTTGTAAGTTTTCGAAATTAATACAAAGGTTGGGATTTTTTCGTATTTGATTGTGTTCATTTCAATTTGCTGCCAAAATTCGTTTAAGGCCAAATTTGTTGAAAATTTGGCTAAGTGTTGGGAAGGCTGAGTCAAGTGCGCAACTTGACTGCCGCGCAGGTGTGACTTTGGACAGAACAAAAACGCCGCCCCCGTGACAACCATCATCCAAAATAGTTTAATCTCTTTAAGAAATGATTCATTCGTTGTTTCTTTCCCTTATTGTCTTTTATGGCGGCGATTTCTCTCTTTGGTTTTCTTCTATTCCCTTGCCATCCTCGGCTGCTAATTATAACAAACAACACATACCTTAGCATAAAAATCTTGAAATTTTGTAAATCTATTCTAGTATTAAAGTAATGACTCATTTATTATTCTATTCTTAATTAGAGGTTATTCACTTTTGTTAGGGAGGCTTTACCGAATACAATATTTTTTCATGGTGCTCCAATACGAGATGTGAAAAACTAAACAAAATTAACTAGTCGTTATGGACGAATCTACTCCTTTGTACAGCCATAAAGGACAAAAAAAGAAATTGAAAAAAAGTTTCAAGAAAAAAAAGGAGTCGGTTGTTTTTGCTAATAACCAAACCCGAAATTTTTCGACTATAGAAGCCGCGCATATTTTCCCAAAAGAAAACTCGGCAAACCATCGTCTCTCTCACACACACAGAAAATCGAATTTGAGAATTTGGGACTGAGAAGAAGGAGGAGCCATGGGAGAAAGGAAAGTATTGAACAAGTATTATCCGCCGGATTTCGATCCGGCGAAGATTCCACGGCGGAGACAGCTCCCAAATCAGCAGATGAAAGTGCGCATGATGCTTCCTATGAGCATTCGTTGTGCTACTTGCGGCAATTACATCTATAAGGGAACCAAATTCAATTCCCGCAAAGAGGACGTCGTTGGCGAGGTATTTACGATTTTTACCCTTTTGATCTTACAGCTGTTATTGCTAACCCTTGCAATTAGTGAATCTAGGATTTGTGTTATATGTATTGCCCAATTGAGAATTTTGTGATATTGGCGGTGAGCGAGTCTGGTGAATTTTAATTTTTTGTTCTGGTGTTATTTTGCAGATGCTTTTGTTTCAGTAAATTGATTTTTGAATTGTCATGAATATCAGATAAATCTATGCATGTCATGAGTATCAGATAAACCTATGTATGTAGTGGCAATTGGAGTTCTTGTTAGGTTTCAGAATGGCTGACTGTTGGATAAAAATTGGATAATACTTATATTGCGAATGTCAATTGGATAATACATACATTGGGTGACTGTTGGTGAAAGATTCGGACTTGGCTTGGAAACGGATAGCTGAAGTAAATCAAATATGTATAGAGGTTTGGCAAATTGCTGTTAATTAGTATAGTTTTATCTGTTTAGTTAAACACCAAGGCATTGCTTCTTCGTGCTGCTAATGCTCTTAACTTTGTATCACCAGATAAGGTAGAAAGCTTTGGCCAAGAAGTCCGCTGACTTCCCATCCTAATTAGCAAGCTATACGTTTTCCTACCATACATTTTGATATCTTGGATGAACTTACGACTTAAAACCATAATAATATCCCCTTAAGATTACCTTAGTGTTCATACTCAGCATCACTCTAATTAATACACCATGGGGGAGGAAGTTGACCTACCCTGCACTGTGTTGTTGTCTTCCAGTAGCTTGGTAGCCATTTAATTAGCTCTTTTCCCTGCACTTATCCATCATTTAGCTGAGAACCTCCATAGAGAAAATGTATAGGATAGGAGCAGATGATTTGCTGATTTAAATCCGCATTGTAATCTGAATATGTTTGGATGCAACACTATAATCAGGACCCGGAACATGAGAATGGAAATAAACAACCAGATCCCACCTCAAACCCATATTCCCCAGCTGAATATTAAGAAAGGAGAAAAGGGCTTGGCACATGCTTTTTACAAGTCAAGATTGCGGAGAAAGTTAGAATTCCATCCTTCGCTCTTGAAAGTGGCTATTTTCCTTTATTTTGATAAAATCAAAGAATTGATAGTGGCTAATTAACACTTATCGAAGCATCTAAAATTTGTTTACAAAAAAACAACAATAAAAATAAAGCATCTAGTGTCTGTCTTCTTGCAATGAAAACATGTTGTGTGGTGTAATAAGTCTATAAGAGGCATCTTGTTAAGAAATTTATTTTTAGTTTAAGAGAGAGTAGCTTGACATTAAGCATACTAACTAGCCCGTCTGAAGTCCTTACTCAGTATGCCCCTTTATTTTTAGAAATTTGAGCGCTAAGTTAGGCAGTGATAATCCTTTTTTTTTGAATGGTCAGGCAGTGATAATTATTTCAAAAATTACACTGCAGTAGAAATCAGTCAAATATATTCATATGTTTGTGTGTATATATATCTATATCTATGTATGTATATGTTGTTGATCTGAATTATAATCACGTCTCAAATTATGCAGACCTACTTAGGAATACAAATCTTCAGATTCTACTTTAAGTGCACAAAGTGCTCCGCGGAGATTACATATAAGACAGATCCAAAAAATTCCGATTATACTGTTGAATCAGGTGCGACTAGGAATTTTGAGCCTTGGCGTGGCCAAGATGAGGTAAGAATTTTATCAACTTAAAGTCCTATTCACCACTTTCTTCCCCAGTGGAAGGAGTGCGAACCGTATGTTTACATAAATTTCCAATTTTTAGGGTAGTAGGTTCCAGTATCTTGTGCATTCATGTTTATGTGTGTTTTTTTTTTAAGGAAATGGAGAAGGAGAAACAAAAAAGAGATGCTGAAGAAATGGGTGATGCAATGAAGTCATTAGAAAATAGAACCTTGGATTCGAAGAGAGAAATGGATATTATGGCTGCATTAGATGAGATGAAATCGATGAAGGTGAGTCTTGAAGTTATTTCTTCACTTTTTTCGTGACTAAACTATTTTGTGACCAAAATTTACACTTAATGTTTTTTTCGCACTATATTGCTGTGTTATATATTTTTTTTTCTGTTAGTTTCATACCTTTGATCTTACATTTTTCCAGTCAAGACATGCAACTGTGAGCGTAGATGCAATGCTTGAAGCTTTGCAGCGGGCAGATGAGGCAAAGGTATGATAGTGTTCTATATTGTTCTCCCACTTGAATGGGAGTGAAAATGTTGTCCTTGATGACTAGTGTTCAGCATTATCATAATAGTGTTAATTAGGAATGGCAGGCGGTGCGGGGCGGGTTCTGTCTAAACCCGCACAATTTCAACCCGCCCCACCCTGCATAGGATTTAAACCCGCATCCCCCCGCCCCACTCCACCCGCATTCACCCGCCTCGCACCGCAAAACTTTTTTTAAAAAAAATCTCTCTTTTTTTGTTTTTTTGCAGTAGTTGTATTATATAATGACGCCACAAAATCTACACAACATCTTAATTTTGCATAAAGATACGCTCTGTATCTTTTTAAGCCTAAGCATTTTGTTCTATTTGCTAATCATTAATTTTCACAAAGATGATTTAAGAAACACCATCAAAATTATCTATTTCTGGTATTTCCTATCGATGAAACAAAGAAAAGTATGTAGACTTTGGTAACTTTGATAATTGACATGATACTCTATATAGATTCCCATATATTGTCATTCTCCTATTTTGGTATTGTTTATTAGTTCAAAAAATAAAATTCCCAACCCGCGCCCCGCCCCGCCCCGCCCCGCACGATTTTTTTAATTTAAAAACTGAACCCGAACCGCCCCGCCCCGCAACCGCAAACTCCCAAACCCGCCCCGCACCCGCACCGCCCCATTGCCATCCCTACTGTTAATTGATAGATATGGAGAACTTCAAGTTCATTCCTACGTAAAGCTGCGGGATGTTATAAACTTCTTTTGACACATACTGTGGCTTTTACTTGAGATCAGTTGTGACCAAAGCTTTCAAAGGACATAGTAGTTTATTAGATCAAATCAACACGCTCTACTATTGGGATTCTGGACCTTTTTTGGGGATTCTATATGCTCAATTGAGGGTATAGCTCTTATAATTAAGAATCAAATCACAGACTAAATTCTTCTATTTACTTCTTGAACAGTATCTCGTATTATATGTTGAGTGATTGCCTACCTCAAGCTCAAGACACCTGTTCAAACTATGGGAGGGAGGGGATGACCAAAATTAAAAGAAATGGGTGAAACCACACATTTCAAACCCCATGAGATCATTGGAGTGTTTAACCGGTAGTGAAGAATCACAGAGGTGTTTAGCACTGAAAATATCTGTAGAAGGTTGAGTCCAGTAAGAAGTATGAAGAGTCGAAGGAGTTTAAAAGAAAGTATTCACTTAAACGATTGGTTATGCAGGATGATGAAAACAATTATGTGATTAAGCCCTACTAACTAATAGGGAAGCCTCGGTAGTGCCACTCTTCATTGGATCGTGATGGTTTATGAAGATCTGTTGAAGAACATTTTTATAATTAGTTGATAAGTAGGTGAAACATTTGATGAACTGCCTTATTTACCATATTAATGCTTGCCCTGACAGGCGAGGAAGCTGGAGGAAAAAGATGAAGCTCTCATAAGATCAGTTTTTCAGGTTGGTATGATAGTCTGAATATCTGTTATTTGTTCATAGGTATTTCTAAGAGCTTTAATTTCTTAAGAAGTTTTGTTGGTCTTGTGATTTCAAATCAGGGTTCAAGAGAGATAGTCAAAAGAATCCCTGACGAAGAGCTTGAGGATGATGATGATGATTTAGCTTTTTTTGCCCTTGAAAGTTCAGGGTCAGAAAACAAAACTCTTAAGGTACAAGTGCCTGGTCAGTTAATTCAGTTTTCCATCTTTTATGTTGCATCAACCTTCTTCTATACAAAATAGACTTTAATAAATATCGTGTATGAATTATGCTTTGTTCATGGGTTTGAATACCAAGAAAGTACCATACATTAGTGTCACAGTTTTCTTTGACGATATGCATCAAACAAGTGAGATCCCATGCTACCTTCCAAACATAAAATGTAGGCATCATATACCTTCAAAACTTTTCAAACACCTGTGTGTCCCACTTAGAGCCTGAACATGGACGTAATGCTTAGCGAAAAATTTCGGGGGCATTACACTAGAGATAGTTGTTATGCTCTAAGGTGAAGCACCTTGTAGAGCTGTTGTCGTCACTTGAGCAATCTGTTATATTGTTTATAAAACTGGTAGTGGTCCTATTTTGTCATCCATTAATGGTTGAGAAAATAGACTTGGGATTATGTGGGGGAACTCGCTTTTAGGCTCCTTGGCCACAAACCGTGTTTTAGGTACACATATGATATCAGAACCTTTTCTACACTAGAATAGTAAGCTTAGTCCACTTTGCTCGGCAACTTGAGTGCACAGGAAAGTACAATAATGCTGTTGAATTAGCTCAAATTACCTGCAAATGACAATCTTGGAAGTAAAGTTTTCTTTCAACGCCTTGGCTGCAGCCAGGGGCAGATGTAGCGTATATTCAGCCGGTTCAATCGAACCTATAACTTCCGAAGCGGAGTAAAAATTTATATGTAAATATTTATTAAAATTACAAAAATAATAGATATGAACCCATAACTTTAAAAATATAATGGGTTCAATGCTAAAAATTTTAAAAGTTGAACCCATAGGGTTTAAATTCTGGATCCGCCTCTGGCTGCAGCACGAAGCTTGTCTTGGAATCTTTTACAGTTATGAATATTATGATATATGAATAGCATAAGATTGATATTTTCATTAAATGAAAAACTAAATAAACACAATAGATATCTGTATGGAGTACTATTTTTTCGTTTAAATAGAACAAAAAATGTGCTAAGGAAATATAAAGTTCTGTTAATTATCTTCCTTTACTAGAGAGGCCCAATAAGTGGCAGCATCTACAAAATGATCTCTTTTGCATTAGACCTGTCGTGTGTTTTACATGCAACTAAATAGAAGTAGAAAATTACAATGTCCATCCGCAAAATTAGAGGACAGTTTTGTTGGGAGCATTTACTGTTAGATTGAAATCTGAAATTTCATCATGCCTGAAGTCTAAATCTTCTTTTTGTTGTTTCTTATTAATATTAAGCTTCTTGTTCTCTAAATGCAGAGGAGAAAGGTTTCTGAGGAACCTAATGACAAACCCACCAATTTTTTGACAAAAGACAGCTCTATCAACAAAGGTTGGTTTAGTGGACCCATCTAATTCTGTTCTGAGTGTATCATTGCTTCCCACTGTTCCTATAACCTTTTATGTCTCGATATATTTTTTGGCTCAGAATACCCTTCATTGATGACAATCATGTGAGTGGATTTCCATTTGAAGAATAGTCTTTGAAGTGATTTCCATCTGTCGCGCGTAATATTTGCTTCTTGAAATCGGAGGCTGGTGATAGTGAATGCATAGTTGTCCAAGAAGCAATATGCTGTCTTCTGCTTTTTTTGCATGGTTTGTTCTCTCTTTTATTTCCTTGGGGGAGATTTTTGTGTGTGGTTTGTGGGGTGGGGGGGGGGTGGGGGT